TTTTTTTTTTTTTTTTTTTTTTTTTTTTTTTTTTTTTTTTTTTTTTGGGTTTATGGATTAAAAATAAGAAGGTAAATACTTTTTTTCTTATTTTATCATAAAGCTTCTGCTGTATCATTTTCACCACCCTGCCAAGTGAACCTGACCAGATTTTAATGAAACTGATGCGTTGACATCGAGAATTGATGAACTGTAGGAGCCAGCACAGTTCAAGGTGACAGTCAACTAACTTTTGGATGGAAAAATCCAAAGGAAGAAATTTACTGCTGTATTCTTGTTTTATTGTCAGTAAATGTTAAACATAAGTACTGTTGAATAAAGCACAGCCTTCTGGTGTAAGAAGCAGCACATTTTCTCAGTCTGTTGATATAAAGCAGCACTTCTCTGTGGATATATTGTGGTTCATCTATAGGTTTGACAGACTCTGCAGTTAGAATAAAAGCAGTTCAGTCATTTTTTGTCCTCAACTTTTTATGTCTTTTGGTTTCAGAGAGTTGGAGCTGTTGAACAAGATATTTCTTTGCTTTTAATTCCCACTGAAAATGTTGTTTTTCAGCTGCTCTGCCTTACAGTTTGATATAAAAGCACATTGTTTACATTGTATTTTAAGACAGACTCTCCATCAGAAAGATACGACACAACTATAGAAGCTTTGTGGAAAGGAGAAACAAGAGATAAAAAGAGACACATTTAATCCCATATCTGAATTTTGAAGCTCCATCACTTTCAAATTTGTTTTATTCTGACATCATTTTCTAAATTTATCAGCTAACCAGCAGCTTACAAGGACACATATTTATCTACATAATGTCAGACGCTTAAAACAAAGTGAGTGGAATAACTTCCAAGACATTACACTAAAAACAAGAAAGTACACTAAATAAATAGTGAAACCTTCACTGTTTTTTTGTTTGTTTTTTGTCTTTTTTTGTTTGCTTTATATGATGATAGGAGACACAAACACATTTTACTAAAACTAGATGTTAGATATGCAATCCACCAGTGTGTGGCATCTCTCAAAGACCTTCGGTGTACACAGAAGGAAACATTCATCCTAACAGATAGCCAAGCTGCTATTGGAGCTCTTCAAGGGCCACACTTTACATTATTAGTGGCTTGAGAGCGTGCAGAAGCAGACAACCAACTGGGGAGAGACAACAGTGTTACTGTTAAATGGATACCAGGACATACTGGCATTACTGGTTACGAGAGACCTGACTACCTTGCAAAAGCTGCCAATCAGGCCCATTTCAAACGATCAGGGGTTGGATTTATAAAGCTTGCGTACACAAAAAAAATGACCCCAGAAATGTGCGTACGTCACTTTTTACACAGAGGTTGTGATATATAAAACCCGAACTTGGCGTGAAAATGTACGGTCCCTCATGCCAGCTCTGACCCATGCGTACGCTCATTTTGGAGATGGGAAGCTGCGACAGATGGTGAAGTGAAGAATTAGAGCCACACTGCRTAATGATCACTGTTAGATATTTAATTTCACTTCATAATCAGACTTAGATTTTAGATCAACTTTATGATCAGCTTTCTTGGCAGCATTTATTCTGCTGGTGAGCCACAAGGACCTTTGAAATAAAAAACATAAATCTTAAATAAAAGTTCACGCATCTCCATTCATCTCCTTCCTCAGACGACCCTGACCCACAGGCCCCTCCCTGACAAGAGACATTTCAACAGCATGACAGCAAAAGGCTCAGTTATAGTCACGCTTTGGGTGTGCGGCCACCTTCGCCAGTGTGGATGTGTTATAAAAGGTTCAATTTTTAAAGTCCGTAACGCATGTAACAGAGCAGGCAGGAGGGGGAGGACAGGGGAGAAGAGTGGGGAACTTATTTCTAACTTTATCTGACTTATTTAATTTTATTTATTGTTTTTATCATCCTGCAGGCTCTGATAGAAAATAAATTTGAAGCTGAGTTTTTGAAAAAAATCGTGAGAAGCAAACCTGCAAAATGAGGGAAAATCTGCGTCAATTACAAACAATCTGTTCACGTGAGCAGCTGTCAGCACCTGTCCTCCTCCAGACGCATGACGGAGCGTGTGTCTGAGCTGGTCAGTCGCTTTTTTTTTTGACACTGATCAGCTGACTGATTTAAATACATCTTAACATTCATGAGGTACTTTGCATTGACTGTTTATGGTTGGGTGTGGGCGTGTAGAGGGCAGAACCTGAGGAGGAACCTTGTGCACAAACTGAGGTGCGGCTGTGATCTAGAAAGGAAAGATGCGCAGAAACATGCGTACGCACGGTTTTATAAATCAGAATTTTTTTAGGCATACGCCATTTTTTGTCTTTTGGCCGCACGTTCATTTTTAGTATGGTTTCCACGCAATCCTTTATAAATCTGACCCCAGAGCACTTTGTTTTTACGCACCTTGA